TATAATGCAAAACATGACAATAACATTGAATAAAATTTCAGTAAATAGATTTGTATATAAATACATTCCCTCCGCAAATAAAATTTACTGGTATGTGTTGTGATTACCAATATACATTCATTTCCTAAGTATCAGGCATGGAATAAATAATCTAAAATTATTCCTAAATTTTGCACCTGAGGAGAATTTAGTTAACTATTATTGTATATATGAATTATTATATTACTGATAATAACATTTTAATTGGAGAAGAATTTAGTTCTTTGAGGTGTTTAATTTGAGAAAACAATATGACTAGGAATAAGTTTGACACAAATACTAGGAATTAAATCAAAAGCCAGGACCAGAACTATGGTTGTAGGGAATATGTTTACAGGAGTGTAAGAAAAGTCCTGAATGCAGAGGACACAGGAGGAAAACAGGATGAATGGTTAATGCTTGGGAAAATCCAAGAGGCTAGGTGGGAAAGAGAGAAAGAGGAAAATAAGTTAATGAAGATAGAAATGGGTGCCTAGAAATATGATTAAAACCCAACTTCATGTTATGCAACAAAAGCCAATGATTTGGAAACAAAGTTAACTTTTATGGGATTATTTAGTGTTTCAGTGGGTGCTAGTGGATTCTGACTATGATATGTAATTTCTATTGATCTATCTTCAAATTCACTGATTATTTATTCTGCCCATAACATCTGCTATTAAGCCCAATTAGAAAACTGTTTTCTTCAGTTATTTGAATTTTCAAGTATAGAATTTCCCTTTATTTATTTTATAGTTTTTATTTCCCTGTTGGAATCCCATGTTTATTGTGTCCTTGTCATTCTATTTTAATTTAATTATTTAAATGTAGTTTCCTATAATACTTTTAACATATTGATATTTATAGCAGCTGTTTTGGAGGTTTTCTCTGCTAAAGTTAATATCTAGAACCAGATTTGAAAATCTGACATGAACAAGGGAAGCCAGATAGCAGACAAGGACACACTGTCTACTATCACAGCATCCATGGGAGGGATGTCCTGACACTGAGGAACACAGATGCTGGGGCACTTGAAAACTGGGTGATTGTCCTGATGCTGCCACCTGCAGAAAAAATGAATTATCCTTCCCCATTTTCATCCATCACCAGCATCCTTTCAAATCTCATGGTGGGTCCATGATATTAGCCAGCTTTATGTTGCATAGTCACATTTAGGGGTATCTGAGACTGGGAAAGAAAATATCTTGCATTTTCACCTTCTATATTGAGAGGTGGTCTCTAACTTTATCAAAGAGTCATTGAGTAGATAATTCTCCAGGTACAAGGAAGTTCAGATGATGAGTACCACAAGTAAACAGAAGACAAATCTCACTACATGTTCTATCCTTAAAAATTTTTGCTAAAAACATATCATCTATTTTTTTTAATTAATTAATTAATGTATTTATTTTTGGCTGTGTTGGGTCTTCATTTCTGTGTGAGAGCTTTCTCTAGTTGCGGCGAGCGGGGGCCACTCTTTATCGTGGTGCACGGGCCTCTCACTATCATGGCCTCTCTTGTTGCAGAGCACAGGCTCCAGACGTGCAGGCTCAGTAGTTGTGGCTCACGGGCCTATTTGCTCCACAGCATGTGGGATCTTCCCAGACCAGGGCTCGAACCCGTGTCCCCTGCATTGGCAGGCAGATTCTCAACCACTGTACCACCAGGGAAGCCCTTTATCATCTTTTTCTCATAGGAAATATCTAAAGTAATTTTTGAAAATGAGAACAATTTAGCTTACATTAGTCATTGGAAGAAGTCATCAAGAGGATGTGACTGCCGGTTGACCAGAGAACTGGACCCAGGCAATCAGAGGCCCCTCATCCCCTCCCCTGTCCTAGAAATGTATAATCTGCCAACTATTCCCACATTAGGAGCTGTTTCAAGGATGAAGCCTTGAGAGAGTAAGGTGCTGTTAAGACCATCTGCACTAGACCCAGTTACAGCCTCTATATAAACTTTTAAGATTCTGGTGGGTGAGTGCTGAAATCTAGTCATCTTGTGGCACACAAGACAAGCCTCATAAGTGAGTTCCCTTGCGTATTAAACCTGCTGCCTTCCAATCTGGAAAGATCTGCCTCTTTCTTTGATCTCTCCTTACCCTCTGTGTACTGAGGCCAATTTGTGAGCCAACAGTAATTTAAAGAAACAAACATGTCAATATGTATAACAGACAGTTTTTGAAGGAAAAGACATCAAAGGAAAGTCAACTTGATTAACACCGTACAGTTATGTATAAACAGTCATATATGAGTTTAATTTTAAGAAGATAACGGACTTTTTGAACTCTCCTAGGTTCACTGAGATGAGAATCAAGCCACAGTTGCAGTCCCGTCAGAACAAAAACAGAAAGAGTAAAAGTCTAGTTAATAGCATTAGGCAATGTGTTGATTTTTTGCAGACACATTGAAAATCTCATATATTCTGAACATAATGTTAGACTCAGTTGTAAGTTCCATCACTGACATGTTTATAATGAAGTAAATCCTTGGCTTGTTTCTAACTGAGACTGTGAGATTGAGGTAGATGAGTGCCTAAGTGATGTCTGGGCAAATGGGAGCACTTGTGTTGATCTTCACACACCTTTTCCTGCCTGTGTCAGAATGGATTTCAGGGTGGGCACACCTGCTAACCAAAATTATGATAATCAAATGTTAATTTGAGGTGGAAGTAATTCTTTATTTTTAGAAGATACAATTCATCTCATACACATGCATATTAATTTTTTCCAGGAGAATATTTGAACATAGAATACCTGCTTGTATTATCTTACTACATCTTCACATCATCACAGAAATAGATATATTTAGAGTTGAATGAATATTTTGCTTTTGTAAATGAGCCAGTTTTTTAGAATTATTAGCTGTAAGTCCATTACACTTATGTTTAAAAGTTGTAATTTTTTTTTTTACACCACACTCATTCTGTTACCATAGTAACATGGTAACTCTTACAGGAGTCCTTGTCAATACAGTATATCACTTATTATGATGAACTGTGATGTGTTAAAATATTTATGTAGTTGTGTGTGTGTGTCTGTGTATGTGTTTTACATTAGGAGGAAACGCTAATAATAGACAGACTTTTACTTTCCAAGATTGGAAAAAGTAGCAGAACTCTTAATACTTTCCTTATATGCAAGCACATACCATCTAACTGCCATCATTACAAGTTAAAATGTTGCTCAATATCTAACTCTCACGAACTGTTCCTAATTCTACTTCTATGAGAATGATTGAGAAATAAAAGTACTGCATAACTTTTAGGCAATGAGAAAGTCATATTTGTTTTGAAAACCATGAATCCAACAGTGTTTTTTTTTTTTCCTATTAAACCTAAGAGACTGGTTTTATGTGGTTAACCTTCTTAAGAATAATAATCTTCAGGAAATATGTGGCCACTTATATAAACTTAATGTACTATTTATCATGAACAAAAACTTGAGAAGATTTAAAATTACATGACAGATAGCAAGGTCTTCTGGAGAGATGAATTTTGGTATATCCTTGACTACAAAGAACAAACCCAGGTTTTTAAACGTGCCATATTTTTTTCACAAAGTTGATGCATAAGGCAAATTACCAAATAAATATTTTTAAGGTATAAACAAAGTTTTCATTTATTATTCATTTTAATTTCATGTTAATTTTTTTTTTTTTTGCGGTATGCGGGAGTCTCACTGTTGTGACCTCTCCCGTTGCGGAGCACAGGCTCCGGACGCGCAGGCTCAGTGGCCATGGTTCACGGGCCCAGCCGCTCCGTGGCATGTGGGATCTTCCCGGACCGGGGCACGAACCCATGTCCCTTGCATCGGCAGGCGGACTCTCAACCACTGCACCACCAGGGATGCCCTCATGTTAACTATTAATCAGTAGATTTAAATTCATTTTTAGTGTCAGTGTTCACCTTTTCTTCACTTTAACTTGATGTTCTAATGTCATATTGTCACTTAATATTTTATTTTGTCAGTGAAAATAGTAATGCAAATAGATTTTCTATTTAATTACTCATGCTCTTTCCTATTTAGATATATGTAACAGTAATTTTTCTCCAACCCAGATTCATTTCACCACATTAGAGAAAAAATATTTAATAATATTAGGAAGATTTCCACTCATCTAATTTATAAGTACAATGTGTTATGTGTGAATGTCATTTTTTTCTATTTTTGTTAAATATTGGCAAAAAATTAGTTGTCAGAAGTCAATAATCAATTCAGTGTCAGTTTAGGCTACATGTTTTAACTCTCTGCAAACTGACAAACAATGCAAGTGATATAATATGAAAAGTCAGTTTTAGCAACACAGTTGTAGGTGGAGCACTAATGGGAAATCTGCACTGCACAATAGTTAAAAGGAAATATTAGGGCTATGTAGTGACTGGACATTTCTGTTTTCCTTTCTTTCCATATAGTTCTGCTTTATGAAATTAATAGAATGAAATGTGATTCATCACCTTGCCTCCAGAGCACTACATCTACAGAATTCATGGATAAATTCAAATGCATCTGTCCCACTGGTTTTATTGGTAAGTACCATTTGAAAACTGTGCCTTTATAAAGAGCATTTCACCCTGGGGGACATATGTCAGGATGTTATTGATTCACTAGTACTTCCTTTTTGTTCCTCTTTAAATTTCCTTTAGCTTAACATTTGATTTGCATTTCAATAACCTGAAACATCTATTCTACCTCTAGACTCCAAATCAGAAGATAAATTAGTTCACATCTAAGCAGTCTTTATCCACCAACTCAGCAATTAGTCTGCGTTTAGTAATTCCAAGAGAAGTTGTTGCAGTCTGTAGTAAGGTGGACCCTGACACTAATATATGTGGCATTCTTATCTGATGAATTTCATCTCAAACATCATCCCCTTTAGGGTTAAAATGCTTGAGCAAATTTAAGAATTATAACCTGGCACCTGTTTGACTTATTGAAACTTAAAATCTATTAACTTTTTTCAAAGGTACAAGATATGAAATAGATAGATGTAGATGAGTGTGCTTCACATCCCCGCAAGAATGGAGCCACCTGCATTGACCATGCTGGTAATCATTCCTGTCAATGCGTGACTCCATTTAAAGGTAATGACCACTGAGAGAGAAGAAAAAGCAAACATAATTAACTTTAAAGAGCATTTATGTCTCTTGTCTGGTCTCATTTCAGTCTCCCAACAACATTATGGGGCCTTCATTTCCTTAAAGTCAGCTTCTAAAGTGACCAACCAATTATCCCTTAGGCAGAAATGAGAGTGAAATGAGCTTTGTTTATATACCCACTAAAACAGTCAAGTTTCTTAGTTTTCTATTAGAAAGACCATCTTACAAGCAAATGGTAAAATAAAAAGTAAGGAAGAATATAAGCAGGCTATCATGTTATATTTGAAATATTGTTCCTATTATTCAATTTCTCATGAAATTGTCAAGGTTTTCTTTTTCTTTCTTTCTAAAGTAACCATTTATCTGATTTTTGAATATAGCTATATTGTGCTTAACATAGAGTGAGCCATTAACTGATACTTTTAATTTTGTTTCAACTTTGATGATACTTTTTTAGCTTCAGCCAAGGAGTTAAATTTTTTTTCAAAAGTAAAATGTATGGTTTGCCCTGTAAAAATATATGTTTTTGTTTTGTTTTGGTTTGGTTTTTTGTGGTACGCAGGCCTCTCACTGTTGTGGCCTCTCCTGTTGTGGAGCACAGGCTCCGGACGCGCAGACTCAGCGGCCAATGGCTCACGGGCCCAGCCGCTCCACAGCATGTGGGATCTTCCCGGACCGGGGCACAAACCCACGTCCCCTGCATCGGCAGGCGGACTCTCAACCACTGCACCACCAGGGAAGCCCTGAAATATATGTTTTGATAAATTTTTGTGCAAACTAGTATACAGAAAGTCAATCACTGGATACTTCCTTGAACTTTAGTATATTTTTCTATGCCATGGAATTTAAAAACCGTGTCATTCAGGGTTCTCCAGAGAAACAGAAACAATGGGAGTTATATCTATATATCTATAACTATATACTTACTCAGACAGACATGATCATGACAGCTTTCATCCTTCATTACTGTGTGGGCCAGTTCCTCATAATGAATCTCCATGATAAGATATAGTGCCATGATCTGCTGTGCGTCTGCGAGCTGAGACCCAGGAAAGTGGTGGTGAAATTCCAGTCTAATTTGAAGCCCTGGGAATCAGGGGAGCCAGTGGTGTGAATCCCAGTCCAAGTGAAGGAGAAAACCAATGTCCCAGCTCAAGCAGGCAAGCAGAAAAGGAACACATTTTCCCTTCCTTCATTTTTTGTTCTACTCAGACCCTCAGCAGATTGAATAATGCTCACTCAGTAGATGGGAGGATAATCTACTTTACTGGGTCCACTGATTCAAATGCTAATCTCATCAGGGAGCACCCTTACAGACACACCAGAAAAAATATTTAATCTGGGCAGCCTATGGCCCAGTCAAGTTAACATACAATTAACCACCATGCTGCTCAGCTTTATATTATCAACTGAGATATTCTTATATGTTGTACCTAATTTTCTTAGAGAGTATCTTCTATAATCATTAATCAAATATATGATTGCTTGACTAACTTCAAATATTTAGTATATATTTAAACTCACTAAATTACAGTGTTCTTATTTGTTAAACGGAAATTAAAAATACTTACCTCGTTGATTTGAATGTGAATTAAATGAGATAAATCATGTAAATGCCACATTGCCTGCTGGAAATTAACATTCTTCAAGTGTTTAATTGTAATTTTAAATAATTTTCTAACATATATATGTAAAATCTATACAGTAGGTAACATTATTATGTTTGGGTAGTAGAATTGAATACATATTTATTTATATATCTTTAAAGACGCATAGAGAATAGTCTAAACAACCTCAATCAATAAAATACTTAGATTTTATTTTAAAAATAACAAAGTTTTCCCAGTGCTTAAATATTTGTTTCTTATGTCATTCTCAGTGAAAGGAACCAGATCTCCTTAGAGATCTAGCTGATTCTGGGACTATGATACGGAATGTACAAATGGGCGTGGAGAATTTTATAATACTAGAAAGCAATGAAGTACTCAGAAAACAAAACCATGAGAGTATCTCAAAGGAACACAGGAGCCAACTGAAGATGCTCTTAATGACCAGAATCATTTGAGCAGCAAAATACAGGAGTATTGGTTTATTATCCAAATTATAAAATAAATACTCATGAGTCCACACTGATAAAAGTAAATGATAGAATATATAAGTGAATAAATAGGAATAATAGACACATCTTCTATACAGAATTATTCCAAATAATTTGGACAGATACTTTGCACTCAAGGAGGTTGAACATAACTTCCCACCCCTTAAGTTTGTGCTGTAACTAGTGACTACCTTCCATAGAGTACAGTATGGAAATGGGGTGTAGGGGGAGAGTAACTTTTCAGAGCAGAAATCTGACAAAAACTGCCTAAGCCAAGTGATCAAAGTTAATATCAACAGTGATAAGTCATGTTAATAGCAAAACTTTCAATATGAGGTAATGAGAATGTCACTTTATCTTTATGATCTTCAGCTTGAAATCATATTGCCCCAGTCTAACCATGAGAAAACCATCAGAGAAGTCCCAATTGAGGGACACTCTACAAAATTCCTGGTTAATACTCCTTACAACTGTTAAGGTGTCAAAAACAAGGAAAGTCTGAGGAACTCTCAGGAGACATGACGACTGAAAGTAGTGAGGTATTCTGGATTGGATCCTGGAAAGGAAAATGGCATTAGGTCAAAACTAAGGAAACCCAGATCAAATATGGGATCTAATTAAAAATTATGTATCAATATCAGTTCATTAGTTGTGAAAAACATAACATAATAGCACAAGATGTTTATAGTAGAGGAAACTGGTTGCAGTGTCCAGTTTCTCTTCACTATCTTTGTGACATTTAAGTAAATCTAAAACTATTCTAAAATAAAGACGTTTAATGAAGAAATGAATGATTACAAATAAATGATTTCTAATTCAAAATAATTTACACTTGAAGAAAACAGAAAATATGTAAAATATAGTCATTTTAGGTAATCCTAAATGGTTTAACATTTTATATACACAATTTTATTTTGATTAATATCTGTGACTATTATAGAAATGACTACAGTCATATCTTGTTTTATTGCTATTCACAAATATTGCATTTTTCCCAAAATGAAGGTTTGTGTCATCTCTGTGTAAGCAAGTCTATTGGCACCATGTTTCTAACAGCATTTGCTCACTTTGTGACTCTGTGTCACAATTTGGTAATTCTGGAAATATTTCAAGCTTTTCATTGTTGTTATATTTGTTATGATGAGCTGTGATTAGTGATCTTTGATGTTACTATTATCATTGTTTTGGGGCTCCAAGAATTGCACAAATATAAGAAGGTGAACTTAATCAGTAAATATTGTGTGTGTTCTGACTATTCCACTGACTAGCTATTCCCTAGTTTCTCTTCCTCTCCTCAGGCCTCCCTATACCCTGAGACACAACAATATTGAAATTAGGCCAATTAATAACATCTAAGTGTTCAAGTGAAAGGAAGAGTCATGTATCTCTTCCTTTAAATCAAAAGCTAGAAATAATTAACCTTAGTGAGGAAGGCATGTTGAAAACTGAGAAAGGCTGAAAGCTAGTCCTCTTACACCAAAAATCCAAGTTGTGGATGCAATGGAAAAGTTCTAAAAGGAAGTTAAATGTGCTACTCTGGTGAACACACAAATGATAAGAAAATGAAACAGCCTTATTGCTGATATGGGGAAAGTTTTAGTAGTCTGGATATAAGATCAAACCAGCCACAACATTCTCTTAAGCCAAAGTCTAATCCAGAGCAAGGCCTTATTAACTCTCTTCTACTTTGTGAAGGCTGAGAGAGGTGGGAAGATATAGAAGGAAAGCTTGAAGCTAGCAGAGGTTAGTTCATGTGGTCAAAGGAGAGAAGTTATCTCCATAACATAAAAGTGCAAGGTGAAGCAGCAAGTGCTGATGTAGAAGCTGCAGCAAGTTATCCAGAAGATTTAGCTAAGATAATTCATGAGGGTGGCTACCCCAAACAACATGTTTTCAACTTTGTCAAAACAGCCTTCTTTTGGAAGATGCCATCTAGGACATTCATAGCTAGAGAGGAGAAGTCAGTGCCTGGTTTCAAAGCTTCAAAGGACAGGCTGATACTGTTGTTAGGGGTTAACGTAGTTTGTGACTTCACTGGAAGCCAATGCTCATTCACCATTCTGAAAATCCTAGGGCCCTTGAGAATTATGCTAAATCCTTCTGTCTGTGCTCTGTAAATGAACAACAAAGTTTGCATGACAGTACATCTGTTTACAACATGGTTTACTGAATATTTTAAGCTCACTGTTAAGGACTACTGCTCAGGAAAAAAAAGATTTCTTTCAAAATATCACTGTTCATTGACAGTGCACCTGGTCACCCAAGAGCTCCAATGGAGATGGACAGTGGGATGAATGGTTTTCATGCCTGCTTACACAACATCCTTTCTGCAGCCCATGGATCAAGGAGTCATTTTGACTTTCAGGTCTCATGATTTAAGACATACATTTTTGTAAGACTATAGGTGCCATAGATAGTAATCCCTCTGATGGGACTTAGCAGAGTTAATTGAAAACCTAATTGAAAAAAGTTAATTGAACAAAGAATTCATCATTCTAGATGTCACTGAGAACATTCATGATTCATGGGAAGAGGTCAAAACATTAACATTAATAGGAGTTTGGAAGATGTCAATTCCAACCCTCCTGGATGACTTTGAAGGGATCAAGACTTCAGTGGAGGAAGGAAATGTAGATGCAGTGGAAACAGCAAAAGAACTAGAATTAGAAGATGTGGAGCCTGAAGATGTGACTGAATTGCTGCAATCTCATGGTAAAACTTGAATAGATGAGGAGTTGCTTCTTATGGATGAGCAAAAATAAATAAATAAATAAATAACAAAATAAAAAACTGTTCTTGAGATGGAATCTACTCCTGGTGAAGACACTGTGAAGATTGTCAAAGACAACAAAAGATTTAGAATATTATGTAAACCTAATTGATAAGA